CTAATTCAACTAGGAATCCAGCAGGAAAACAAGAATCGTGTGCCGCAGGCTTAAGAGTAAGAAATTGACCAATCACAATCGATTATGAAAAGAATAATCGACTGTGATTGGTCAATTTCTTACTCTTACTTCTTAAACCAAGCTTACTACGTGTATTGTAGACGGGCCTTAATTGGGATTGGTTAATTCTTACAACTACGCTTATGCAATTGTAGATCAGACTTTATGAGCTTTTTACAATAAAGGTGTATTTTCACGAGCCGTTCAAACCACTGAAATATATCATATCTCTTGTCAGTGGCTCAAACTGGCCATTTCAGCGACAAAAAAAATCACGTGATGACTTTTGTCACTGAAACGGCTAGTTTGAGCGGCTTGTGAAAATGCACCTGTTATTACCTAAGCTTTAATAGGAGCATATTGGAATATGTTCGAACATGCAACGCAAACAAACCTAAAACTTCTACTCCTATATACAGATACTAAGGGCGGTATTCATAGTCAGTTCTTATATTCAAGATCGTCTTAAGTTCTGTCTTGAGGTGTCACGAACCAATCAGAGGGTCGTATTGGCACCTTAAGACGGCCTTGAAATAAGAATCGACTATGAATACCGGCCTAAGACCTATGTACTAAGCATAATGATTGGACATTAGTTGGGAGGGGAGGTGTTAATCTTTGAAGGCTGCTATCTTGCATTGGCACAATAAAATTATAATGCATTTATTATTATTTGTATGATGAACGGACATAATAAAATCTTATAAAAAATAAAGAAATAAAAGAAATGCTTTCAAATCATATTATGTTTTATTCCTTGAATAATATTAATCAACATTTAGAGCATTTCTTTTATTTCTTTATTTTTATTACATAAGATTTTATCATGTCTGTTTATCAAATAAGTAATAAAAAATATGTTATAAAATTTGCTGTCACGTACCCCGGTAAAAAATTTTTCTTTCATGAATACATATAAATATGTATAAACATACATAAACATGTATAAATATTCATAAACTTATATAATTATGTACGAGATATATCCATACATGTTTATACATCCTTCTTTAATTTGTAAAATTATTTTTTAGTGTACTAAAAATAATAATAATGAGAAAACATAAAAAATAATTAAAAGGAAAAGTTTCGCATTGTTTGTTTTAGAAAAAAATCAAGTTTGAAAAAATGTAAAAAATTGCTCATATATAGTTGCATGTAAAATTATACATAGTTATATAAGAGCAAGTTTTTTTATATTTTTCCAAACGTGATTTTTTTCTAAAACAAACAATACTAAAAAAAACAGTCCCATTAACTAATTTTGATGTTTTCTCAATATTATTATTTTTAATACATTAGTAGTACATACAGTAACATTTAGTACATTTTTAGTACATTAAAAAGTAATTTTACAAAAGAAAGAAAGATGTATAGACATATTTCATGTATAATTATATACGATTATGAATATTTACGCGTGTTTATATATGTTTATACATATTTATGTATAAAATTTATGTATAAAGTTTATACATATTAATGTATAAAAAATTCTTTATCAGGACTGTAAGATAGCACTATATATAACAATACTATTGGATGCGTTCAGCAGATTTAATTGCTGAGTGTTCATTGCTATTGGTATAATCTTCTAGATTTAGATTTAAACATGTCTGTACGACTTTTCTACAACCGAAATTTTTCATAATATACTATCATTCTTGTATTTCCGTTGACGCCATTGTGATATCACTATATGTTTTTACTTTGGCTGCGTTTCACTTAACGCTCGCAACGCTCGCGAGCATCGTTTGTCCTTGTTTAACATTTGATAAACGACAAGGATAAAATGATTCCACGAGCGTTGTGAGCGTTAAGTGGAACGCAGCCTCTATAAAAGCTGCATTTAATTGCACAGCTGTGATCTCGTCAGAACATTGAAAAACTTATTTTATGTAGGAAAACAGATTTTTGAAATTTGATGCATATCTGTAAATATTCGTATATTGCGTAAAATGAATCCTCATTCGTATATTTATTAATTGATTTGGCCTGCGATCCACTTGATGGTATAAATGCTTTGAAACATTCTTTGATTGATCAATTAGTAAAATTCTTTCTTCTGATTGATCAATCAAATGCTTCAAAGCATTTGTAATGTTAAGTAAACTACACCCTTTATTTATTTCTTTAGCTTACATTTAAATATTTTTCACATTTATTAAGTATTTTAAAATGTCAATTGGACGCAATTCTGACAATACTCTTGAATGAAACAGTACAATTTTTGTTTAAAAAATTTTTTTCCGTCTTTTATACTTCCGACGGTATTCGGCTCTCGAAATAGAAATATCGTTTTTTTCAAAAATATACATGTCAAAAATTTCATATTACGTTCATCTTAAAATTAGCAAATGTTACACTTGACACACAATATTACGTGAACGTTACACACACAATCTTGCCTAATAATGTCTGTGAATGCGTGTGCGATCATTAGCATATGTCGCGCATATTGACGCGCAGACGGTTGTTTAATCGTAATTTATAATTGGCTAATTTTTAACATTTATATTTCAAAAACTTATTGTTCGACTTTTGTAATCTATTTACTATAAAAATAAATTATGAAGATATATTATATCTTCATAATTTACTATAAAAATTAATTAACTATTAATTAACTATTAACAATTATTTTACTATTAAAATTAATTTATTATTTATTTTTTGAAAACTTTCTTGTTGCGGTATTTTAATTTCAAAAATTTTGGGGTACTCTCATAGTCCAAAAGAAAATTAACTAAAGAGATAAAATTTAATTATACACTTGCATGGAATTCTTTTTCTTTTATACATGTCCCATTATACATACGTATGTCTTCTTAATTCCTCAGCAAGACAGCAGTTAAGCAATTTAAAGTTATGTATATAAAAAAATTAGACTTGTGAATAATACAAAAGCATTTAAATTAATACATTTTTATATAGGAATATGAGATCATCATTCTGGAAGATTAATGCTAGCTGAAACAAAGTTTATTTATATAAATAATACGATATTGTCATTTATATAATTGGTATTAGATTGTACGACACAAATAAAAACAAAGGAAATATAATAAAATAAAGATATGACACGTACAATAATAATAATAAACATAATAATAAAAATAAATTGCTTATATGTATATGTGTATGTGTTTTTTATTTAATAAAATAATTTCCAGAAATTAAATTTAAAATTTTTCTATCATTATTCTCAATTTTTTTTGTAGTATCAATATTTTTATGTAAGTGTGTTATAATTATTGATGTTACACACACACCCTGGCAAAAATAAAAATTGGAGCATAAACTAAAGGAAGAGTAACTGAAGTGTCAACAAAACTTTTAGGAAGCATAAATTGGAATAACACTTTTTTTACGTTCTGTTGTTCCAATTTACGCTTCGTAAGAAGTTCGTTGACACTTCTGTTACTCTTTCTTTTACATTCGGCTAAAGGCGCCTCCAGACGATATGACCAACGTATACGCCAACTTCGTAAACATTCGCTAAATATTGATCTACATTCAATATGGATAATTACGTATGTCATATATGTGTGTCATATATGTGTATGATATTTGCTCATGTTGGCATACATTGGTGATATCGTCTGAAGGCGCCTTAAAGCTCTGATTTTTATTTTCGCTAGAATAATGATGTAACAAATAAAACTTACATGAAGATATAAATGCATCTTTTTAATTGAGAAAATAGATTTAAAAGAAATTTGAAATTAAAAATGAAACAAAGATGACAATAAGCAGAACAAAAAATTAAACTCCGTATTCTTCAAAAGTTTTTCGTTTTGTTTCGCAAATCCTATATGAATATTAAATATATTTGAATTCTATCATTACTTACAATTATAATATAGCATTATTTATATAGCAATATTCATGATAAGGGCCCTTGCTGTGTCGTTGTCCGTCACTTTTCGTGCAACTGTGCACTTTGCTTCCTTTTCTTTCTTACACGGCGAAGAACTTTAAAGCTGCTTCACGCTGTCAAAATATAGCATCAGCGCACATTGTTAATAATTCAATGAGTTGCTTCTATTAAATGTAATAGTTTTAAGACAGTTCGAAGAAAGAAAGAAAGAATAACATTAATTGATTAGCTAATTGTATTGTGTTTTAAATTGTGACAGACAACCAATTGAAAAAGAAAAAGAAAGAAATAAACGCGGACAAATACGAAGTGCAAAAATTTCAAGTCAACTTTAACATTATATAATGTTTACGAAATTAATTCTCTATTACTTTTTAGATCATTTACAAAAGAAATATGTTTTAATTATATGTTCTAATCTTTTTGACATCTTTATTGATAGATAGATATATATATATATACGAGTATATATCCCTTTCTTAACATTCAGTGTTCATGGATCATCGAAATAGCGGCTTCCGTATTAAATATTTTCATGACATTTACGATAAATATTTCGTAATATTAGTGATAAATCTTTATAATTTGTGTAATCTAAAAGTTTCGTAAATATGTAAATAAATCTTATAAATATTTTATAAGTATTTTATAAATATTGTATATTCTAAAATAGGCGTTCATATATCTTGTTTATCGTTTTGTTTTCGTACTGTACATTCATCATACTTTCTTTTAAATTATTTTTTACGTGATGTTTTCTTAATGGAAATAATATTTCTTTGTTTTTTAAAATTTCTTTATCAAAAGAATCCTATTTTATTGCATACTTCATAAAATATGTTTTTAACTTTTTTTAAATCAAATTTCGATTTATTTTTCAACGTAGTCTTCTTTTAAAAAGTTACTAACTTTTGAAACTGCTCTCGTATATCTATAACTATGATACAAAGTGCGAGAAAAAAAATACTAAACTTTAGAATTACGAAATCTATACATCACTTTTTCCATTTGTGTGTTTTATAGTTTTAAATACAAAATAGTTTAATCTCGTGTTGTTTCTAAAGCAATTTTCTTTACTCCTAATTTTACCATCTACAAATATGTTTTTGATACAATTGAGCATGTATATTTAACGTATTTAAAACAGGAGGATTTATTTTAACAAATATATATTTTACAGAATAAAATATTTATTCTAAAACAAGTATTAAAGAATATTGGAAATTTATAAGACATTCAAGTAAAAGATGTTGAGAGTTCATAAAGAATATTATTGCTAATTGTATCATTGCACGAACATCTTGTAAACTTAATTTATTGCAATTATCTATAAACGAATCAGTCACTGTTTTTATTTCATCAAATCACTATTTTATCATGATAAAAACTAATCGTCAAATTATATCTTTAACATATTACTTACGTAAAATAATTATATATTATAGTTATATAAAGTTCTCTTTAAAAGCGGGAGTACAGAATCTTGCATAATGTATAGTGCATAAGAAAATGAACCAATCAAAGTCCTTCATTTCCTTCCTTTCTATAAAATAAAAGACTCCGATTGGTTAATTTTCTTATGCTTTATACATTATACGTTATGTAAAGATCTGTGCTCCAGCCTTAAAACGCAACTCTTATTCGGGTTGGTCTTATCTCTGCTTATTTTTTTCGGTCAATCAAATTTAAGAATTGCCAGCTGCAAAGCTGAGAAGTAATCATCTCTATATATATCCTGATTTCATAATTATTTTAATTAAACTTAATTATATTAATTAAAAGTTATTACATTTTACAAAAATAATACTAAATTATAATTTTCAAAAAATGTACAAGAAAAATAAAATAATACGATCACTTTAATTTTAAATTTTGCAGTTAGCAATTTTCAAATTTAACTGTCCGATAATAAATAAATAGCGTTTCCGATAGGAGAAACAATGTAACACGTACAGTATGACGTCATTTCATTTTTCGTTTTATATTGACAAACGACTAGTGCTGCGTGCTCAGAAGGCTTTGAAATCATTTTATCCTTTTTTATTACAGTTAAACAAAGACAAATAATATTTACGAGCATAGTGAGCGTGAATCGACCCGCGATCAAGGATGTATAATGATTCATTGCAATTCATTGTATTATCCATTGTATTATATTATTTGTATTTTTTGCTGGAAGGTACAAGGTACCCAAAGTTAACCGGAAATGATTAAGACTGAATTACTGGATCTTGTTGGACCTCGTAGGCGTGGCGCAGCCTTAAAGTTCACCGCGCAGCTGGAACTCCGTTCATCCGGGAGAGGGGAGAGGTAAGTCAGGCTATACTATACATCGTAGAGAGGGGTAGTGGCAGTAGGAGAGGAGGGGGGGGCGCGACACCGCTGCTCTGCGTTACTGCTGTCGCTGGCTCTCGTAGGGTTAGCAGCCCCGGATAAATACGGGCCTGAACGGTATGGAATCGTCTCTCGGCTTTGTCGCTTCGTGAACATCCGTGCATTTGAATAACATTGGTCGACGTCACTTGGTGTGCCGTTTGCGGGTCGCTGGCGCGCGTCGGTCCGAGCAGTGACTGATAAGTAGTCTGCCGGAGAGCGGACCTTTGCTCGAGTTCGCGACTTATGCAGGTGTGCATGGTGGTTTCAAGAACATCGTCGTTCAAGAATAATGTCTGTGATTTCTTGATATCGGAAGATTCGCCACTTTTCCACGGACGGAGGACACGGTGGGCAACGCTAGGGGCCGATATTTCGGAGCATTCCTCGAGCCTCCGTTGAGCCGAGACGCGGTGCCTCGACGATAGTCATTAGGAGGTGCTTGCGTCTGTCCTTCCGCTCGCCCGCACGTGCTAACCGCCACGAGTACTGTCTATGTTAAAACGCCGGCCGACCGATCTCTCGTTACTATACATTATATTGATTACGTTATCGAAGACCGAACAGCGTGAACGCGCACAGTCGTGTTTCGCAACGTTCTATACAAACATCTGCGTGCCAAATAATCCTGACCGGGATATCTTGTTTGTTTACGATAATCGTCGCTCGTTTTCTTTCTTAGGATTTAGTGCGATCGTCGCCCAATCGATCGCCGTACGCGCGCGAGAAAGAAATCAACGGGCGTGCAAAGAGCGACGAAGAATCACGACGATTCGACCGACAGCGCGATAACACTTGACTGATAAAGCGAGAACAAAAAAGTATTGCCGCTTTAATTTCGGTAATTTTTTTTCCTCGAAAAATAAGTTACTTTCTGACTTGTTCCCCGAACAAATGGTGGAACGCAAGCGTTGGCCCATGGAGGACAGCGTACAAGGAACCTCGAGCGCCGTCCTCGAGGAGATCTTCTACGTGACGTCGAAACGGAACACGTATTACAAGGTGAAGCTGACGGAGAAGGGTCTGAGCTTGCAAAAGGAGCACAACGGCGCGACGAAGATCGAGACGATCGCCTTAGGTGATATCATCGGTTGCAGATGCATGCGGTCGAAGCGCAGGAACGCGGGCAGCTGCGCCTGCCGACCGGGCGCGTCCAAGTCGCAGATGAAGCTGGTGGAGTCGGCCGAGCTCTACCAGCAGTGCGACGAGCTCGACACGTCGGCGTACCTCTACATATACGCGTACACGTTGAAGAAGACGCGCATGAAGGTCACGCTGAGGCGCGAACGTACAACAATTACTTTGCGCTTCCGCAGCTTCGACAAGTACGAGGATAATCTGCGGGAGGCCAGCAGGTGGCGATTGGCGATCAAGTGCCTGGTCGCCAATGTGCCGGTGCCGAAAAATCTGATGAGTCCCAGCCACGGCAACTTGGAGACGTTGGTCGGGGGTGAGTTAGGATCATCTCGATATAATTCTTTTCACCGGAGATTCTCCGATCATTGATCGACTACACGGAACAAAATAAAGCTTTGATTAACAATGTATTTTATACGATTCTGTATTCTACGTTGAGCCGTAATCATATTAGCGATTACCGGATTGGATCGCGATTGTGATTCGCGATTAGTTTTCAACCAATCAGCTCGAAACGAGCGGTGGCTGCTTTGTTCTGAATTAATCTTATTGATTGAAAAGTTAACGCTAATCGCAATCCAATCGGCAATCGATAATCGATAATATGATTACGGCTTTATACGAATAAAATTGTCGAGTGATAAAATTCTACCGTTCCGATGGTAATGTCTGTTTTTCTAAGTCAATTTCTGTCTTTTTCTTTGCGAATTGATCTTTTATAAAGTCGGTGTATAACAACAATAACGGCATCCGGTGATACATCCGGTTGCGCGTCTAAAAGGCATAAATACATTTTAAAACAAATCTTAATCTATTACGTCATTTGAGTAAATTTGATTTGCGAAATAAAATTGTAAAGCAAATTAGCCGATTGTTGTAAAATATTATTTTGTTATGTACCGAATGATATCTGTTAATTTTTCTTTCTAATTTCATAACGGCTGCTTTATTATTTATCGAACGTTTTAACTTGACGAAATATTTTACAGAATGATAAGCATGCAAAAACTTACACGAAGATATATATATTCAATTTTGATATTTATGGGATTATATACTACTCGAACGTATGTAGGATAATCGAATCTATATCAGGAAATTAGTGTTATCTATATAGTTTATACCCACATAGTTATCTATGTTACTAAACTTCGATAATTTCGCAGCTTATGAATTATGGTTATTCATGGTTCATTCTTATTTCAAAATCGTTTTAAATATTTTAAAATGCTAATACAGTTCTGATTAGTTTAAAACATCTGAAGGCTACACTGAGAAAAAAATTGTTCATTTGATTAAATTAATTTACTTCTTTATTTTTTTCAATGAAGAATATACGTATTTAAGACAAATATATTATATTTGACTTAAATGCATACATTCTTCAACAAAAGAAATAAAGATGAACTAAATTAATTTAGTCAAGTAAATAATTTTTTTCTCGGTATGTATTTAGGACGACCTTAAATATAAGAACCGACTATAAATATCCGACCTAGGTATTATGACTACGATTATTCGTTTTTTGGTGTTATGTCATAAAACAATAGCATGTATGCGCGTAGGTATCTTTTTCTTATGATTACTTTAAAATTATATGTCTCATTCAGACTTACGCATTTCTGGTAATCGGAAATAGGCACGACTGTGGTACAGCGTGTTTCGTATTAATGGTAAGCTAGATATGAAGAAAAATAATTCTATTACTAGAGTTCTAAAGATGTTTTGTGGAAAAGTAAATAAAAATATAATAAAATTTTTTTTAAATCAATGTCAAGAAGCTGGAAAATAAAAATTTTTTTTACTTTTTTGCATAATTTAAGTTGTAAAGCTATAAATTTTTTCTTTTTCGTCTTTTATCACTCACTCAGACGTGTGTTCTGATTCCCTACCTGAGTGCTCCTCGGGTGTTATGTCATCCTTGTTTAACATTCGGAGAGCGTCCAGGTAGAAATTCAAACATGCCCCATAAATAAAAAAAAGTATTTCATATGAAAGAAAATTTTTTGCTAGAGTATGTATCGAACAATCTTCGGAAGCAGTCGGTCGTAAAAATTTAACTAGGTACGGATCTGAAAAGAATTTTGTTGGATTATCAAAATAATTATAGACGCTGGTTCCTAAAATGTCCAAACTTTTTGTAGCTTGCTCATTTGGTATTTGAGCATCCTACACAATTATTTTAATGGCCCAACAAAATTATTTTCAAATCTTTATCTACCTAAATTTTTAAATACATACTTCAGTAAAGTCATTTTTTCCGTGTAATGAAGTAAAGCTGATTTCGATTTTTCATAAATAGCTTTGTTTGAAAACTCCGTAATAGTATTGAAATGTCGGAAATGAAATAATTTAACTTTTGTTTTGAGAATATGGCAAAGTGATAATATTGATAATATCGTATATTTCGAGATTCCCTTCCACAGAAGTATGGAAGTAACTAGTGTTGGGTTGAAGCTTTTTTTTTTAATATTTGATTTTTTTCTTGCTTCAGAGGCTGTCTGGTGTAATGCGTCTATTATCAAGTACGTAATGATCCCTTATGCTCTCTCCGTGCAGTACTTTTGTGTGCAAATGCCAATTGTATCTGAGCTGTAACGCACACTTACAGTACAACGTATTTATATCTTAGTGATTAGCTCCTACAGACGTGCGTTTTCATAACTACTTATGTAATCTGTAATTCCTAGTAAGTCGTTACGGGTATCACGTGATCTCGTGATTTAAGTTTTAGCAAAGAAGATAAGGAACACGTGCTTAGATATGTGACTTTTCTTACATTCTATGCATGAATAAGTGCAGATATGGTATTTCATTATCAATTTCAAAATTTTGTAGAGAACGATGGAATAAGATAGCGGGAAATAAGATAATATATATTTTTCACAATGTGAACACTTTTTGAGAACTTCATGGTATAGGAATTTTGCAAAATATAAGTCTTTTCTTGCAAAGCGATTTTACAGACTTTCTTACAAACTTTTTTCCGAAACATTAAAAGAAGTATTGGATTTTTAAAAATGAAATGACATTGTTCGGTGAGCATGAGATTAAGTTCCGAGAAAAAAATGTTGTATATGCACATTTTATATATAATTATTATATACATTGTATAATTGTATATAGAATGTCAATTTTTTATATAATTATGAAACATTTTTTCCCGGGGCAACAGTTGTGACTCGTAAATTTCTAATTATTGTATATGACTTCTTAATAATTGTAACAAATTTTTTAAAAAACTCACAAAATAACTTGAAGGTTTATGAACAAAATTTATATAACTGAGAGAAAAATGTAATAATTTTAATAAATATTTGTTTGAATAGTACATTAGCTGAATATTCAGAGGAAGGTCACCGATATTGACATAGGTCTCCTAAAACGACATCCCCTTATTTCTTAGAAACTAACTTTTGCACCTTATTAATACTAATAAAAACGTGATCTGTTTAGCTAATTAAAGAAGTACAAATTCATAATTCATGTATTTGTGACTTATTTCTATACCAAATCAGCTAAAAACAAATTCTATGAATCCGACAAGAAATTTCTTACGGTGTTCTTTTGCAAATTGCGTAATTAAAATAATAGTGACTGTATTATTGATAATATTATGTCATTTTAAATGTTTATAGTTTCATAAATTAGTTTTCCTTGCAGAACAGGATATATCTTTGTTTATAGAATAGGAATTTTGGCATTATTGCCTACTATGTCAGTTTTGGAGCCCATTTTGTCAGACGCTCATTTTTGCATAACTTACGAAAAACTTAATTATTGCAAAATTGTAAACAGTATTATAAAAACTGCTTATACTATCTGATAGAAGACACTTTTTAGTTTGTATTTATGTTTTTGAATTTGTATTTTTACCTTTTGTTTAAGAAATATTGTCTAAAAACAAAATGGTATGTCGGTATCGGTGACCTTCCTCTACTAAATGTCATATTTATTTGGTATATGAACTATTAATTTGATTTAACTATCATTTTTTTTACTCAGTAAGTATTTATTTATGGTAAGTAAATGTTAAGTACTAGTGAAACAAATATTTATTAAAATTTAGTACATTTTTTCTCAGTATATTATAATACCAGAGTTGGGAAGCGAGTTACTTCGTATTTTTCCGTTACTTTTTATAATAACATGACGGCAAGCAATTTTTTATAACTAAACGCTAAACGCTAAGGTTAGAAAAGTCGAGCTTTGCAACCTTATTAGCATAACCTTTTAGTGTTGATTATAAAAAATTGCAACGTGATTATCAAATTGTTCATTATAAAAAATAATGAAAAAATAACGGAAAAAGCTTGGGAAAAAGTAATGCTTCTCAACTCTGTATAATACTGATTTTAGCATATCGCTCCGTCGACAGAAAAGTGACATAAGTAAAAAATTAGCATTTTTTAGATAGTGAAAATTGAATAGTGTAAATCCAAAGATTTACATATTTTCATGGAAAAACGACAGTTGTAATTCTCAAACAAGTGTTTGTTTACACGGAAAAGTGTCACTACTCTGATTACGAATAAAATTTATACTATACCTACTAGAGTTGCAGCATTTGTATTTTGAAAACTCGTAACATAGTTTTAAAGAATATTACATTAAAATTGAAAGTAACATGAAAAGAAAGTGAAATTATGCGAATTGACTATTCTAATTAAAACATTCCATTTAAAATTTTAAAATTAGCAACTTTTCTGTAAAACATTTTTTAAATAACATTTTTTTAATAACATTTTTTAAATAATATTTTTTAAATGTTTTAATTTCATTTAAAATCATTTTCTTTAATGATAATTACTTAATGAGAAAACGTCCTAGTGTAGAATTTATGGCAAAGCAACATTGGAAGAGTATTATCTTTGGGTTACATATTAACATTGGAATTTTTTTTAAGGAATTGAGTGATAAACTCAATCAGTGATAAACTCTCGCTTAGAGGTTCTAAATAGATTTATTCATCTGTACATAGTTTTAGCTAATGTGTAAAATATTAATAGTTTTGATGTATTATCTCTAAGTTTTATCTGGTCTGATTTCAACTAACTGTATATGGACATTCACTAGTTATATCACATATTTGCATATTGTGTGTGAGTGTAAGAAAACTGTAGATAAACAAGATTGATCGGAAAAGTTCAAAGAATGGAAAAAAAACTATGTTATTCGTTTTATGTTAAATGTTTTTATTCAAAAGAATAAATTGGTAAAAATTATAAAAGTGATTATATTTAATACTAAAATGTAATTATATGACTTTATGCAAAATGGTATCTTTTTGATTACTGAATCATATTAACTATT